TTTTGCGGTACGCGGGCCTCTCACTGCTGTGGCCTCTCACTGTTGTGGCCTCTCCCACTGCGGAGCACAGGCTCTGGACGCGCAGGCTCAGCGGCCATGGCTCACGGGCCCAGCCGCTCCACGGTCCGCTTCCCGGACCGGGGCATGAACCTGTGTCCCCTGCATCGGCAGGCGGACTCTCAACCACTGCGCCACCAGGGAAGCCCCTTAATTTTCTTCCATAGCACTCATCATCATCTGACACCCTGTATCTTTTGTCTGATTTCTCATCTGTCTTCCTGATTGGAATGTCAGCCCCAAGAACAGGGAAGCTTGTCTGCCTTGTTCACTGCTGTGCCCCCAGCACCTAGCAGGTGCTCAATACATGCTTGTTGATTGAATGCATACCTCCCCTCACACCCAAACACAGCAGTTGGAATTAATCCCCACCCACGCAATATCCTCCCAGCTCAATTCTGAGACCACTTTACCTGGCTTTTCATTTGAGTGAAGGCATAGGACAGAACGGGGCTCAGTCACTGCCCAAGATGCGGGTACAGGGAGCTTCCAGGAGACCCAGGGGCACACAGAACCCCACCCATCCACCCCTCAAGGCTTGGACAGATTCACCATCCACTACCCTAGCCCCCTGCTCACTTTCCACAGCTAATTCCATCATGCTTTCTGTGGCTGCCTTACCCACGGGATGGGGATGCACCCTGAGAGGGCCTCAAGTCCTGCTGCCAGGCCACTAGGGCATTCTCAGCACCTAGCACCCGGCCACACTAAAGGCTGTCAGGGGTCCTCTGTGTTTGAAGAATAAATGGAAGGAATGAATACATGAACCGAATGATGAGAAGACCCTCAGGGTTGTACATCCTGTGCCAAGCGGGCTCTAGGAAAAGCCGGGCTGGGGACGCCTGCTGGGCAGTGGAGGTCTGAGCGTTGTTCCTGAATCCAGGAACGTGTTTCATCCCCAACCCCAAGCCCCGCTCCCCCCCTCGCACGTGTTCTGGGTCTGCGCCGCTCACCCACCCCCCACCCCCGCCACACACCGGACCTAAGGAACCCAAGGTAGGACACCCATGATTGAGGGCGCCAGGCCTGAGACAGAGGACACAGAGCACTGGGGACAGGGGAGGGTGGAGAAGCGCAGCGCCCAGGACGGTCAGCATAAGAGCCTGAAGCAGTGGGCACATCACACATGGAGGGCACAGGGCGAGGGCAGAGGGCACAGGTGAAAAGAGCCATCCACGTCTGAGTACAGGGTGCCCCAGGTGCTAGGTGCGCAGAATGTAGGGTCTCCAAGACGCCGGGGAATCGCTACATGGCGTGTGCTAGGCGTGGGGCAACCTGGGTGCGGGGCTTTTCTGGCACAGGGTGCAGAGAAGAGTGGGACGTCCAGGCTCAGGATGCACAGGACGTTGGGTATCCAAGGCGCGGGTCACGCTGGGCGTGGGAATCCCGAGGCACAAGGTAGGATGCCCGAAGCGAGGAGCGCCCTGGTAGTAAGGAGTAGGGCGTCCTGGGCGCGGGGACGGACACGCGCAGTGCTGGGCACTCAGAGCCCGGGCGAGACTGCGCGCGCGCGCGCGCGCGCGCGCGGACGCGTTAGTTTCCGGAGCCGGGCTGCTGGCGCGGCCTCCACTGCGACTGCGCAGCCCGGGGTCTTGGGAGAGGAGAGGCGCTGGGGCTGTTTCGCGCCCCCACCTCTACTTATCCTTCGCCTCGTGAGGCCCTCGCCCGTGAGGCCAGAAAACCGAGATGGAATGGAGCCTAGTGAACTGATCCCGGCCACGACCAGGGGTGCTCCGCTGACCACGGGCTTTGGGAGAAATAGGAGGGGCTGGGAGGGGGTCCTGGCCAGGATTTTTCCAAACTGAGCCGGGGCTTTCTTAAAGCATGTCACTCCTTACCCTGATATAAGTTAAAGACACTGCTTCTCGCAGCCACTGAAGAATGCAGGTTAGAGCCATCTCCCAGGCACCCTCATAGGTTCCCAGGGTTGCTCCACAGAGGGAGGTGGGTGGACTGCTCAGGACCGGAGGGTGGAGTGGTGGGAGGAGGCTTGGAGCCAGAGGGCTCTGGAGATGCTCAGCTTTCCCTGAGATGCACGTTCTTCCCCCTTTCAGTCCTGCTGGGTTTATAGAAAGCTGACTGTGTGGATGTGGGGGGAGGGTTCCTGGTTGCCCCCTGTGGCACCGCCCCCCCTCCCCAGCACCCCAAAGCCTTCCATGGGTCCTACCAGGTGCTGTCGAGATGCCTCAAAGTAGGAAATTGATGTGTGGAGACGTGGAACCTCCCCCACCCTCCCATCCTCCCATCCTGGTATTGCAGCAACCACAGATGGATGGGATCCTTTCCGCAGCCACCAACCTCAACTTCATACGTATTTGGTCCCTCAGATCCAGCTGATGGGCCGGGTCACCCAGATTTAAGGCCTAAAGTCTGCAGCCAGGGAACCCTGGGTGTGAAGGAGGAATAAAGGTAGCCCACCTACTCTCTCCACCCCTGAAGTTTGGGGGCTGGATTTGGCCCAGGTTCCAGGCTATAAGAATCCCTGCCCTGACACTATGGCTGCCCACAGCAGGGGGCGGAGTGGGGGGGTGGGTGCTTTAGAGGTAGCCCCTGGTTACCCAGCCAGCCTGGAAGTCTGGAGTCTCTGCCTTTCCCTAAATTCCGCCACAGCCACCAGGACAGGCTTCTGGGAAGGGATTCTTAGAGGACAGGTTAATTCACTTGCAGATGTTCCCTTTAGGCTTTCTTAGATATTCATAGTTCCCATCCTAGTCTGCCCCAAGTTTTGTGTATTTACCACACTCT